CCTGCTGAAACTATGGCAGCAATCGAATAAGAAGAGAAAGTAGAGAGAAGGCAAAGAGACTTTCACCGCAGGAATAGCCCGGTTGATTGATACATATATACCTGCCTTGTTTCTCGAGCCTTTGTCTTTTTATTTTTATTTTTTTCTCAAATGTCTTCTTTTATTTGTTCACACTAAATTGTAAAAAAAAAAAATAGTGAAATGGTGGGAATAACATATAAATATGTATATATATTACACCATAAGTTTTATATTTATAGTAGTAAAATCCATCTCACTTTGTCTGTGATTTTTCTTTGTATTTTATTATTATATATAGTAAATAAAAATATAAATTATAAAAACTAAATATAAAAAATTATTTGAATGTTTGTGGATCCGATGACAACCGACATGGGCAACCCCCAAGTGATCCTTATTTTGATCGATTTGAAGTTTGAGTAAAAAGTGAAATTGAAGAATAATGTGAGGGATGAAAATGAAATAATGATAGGAAGTAACAAATCTAGAAAATTACAAAACCCTAGCACGGGTTTTGAATTCAGATCACCTTCTCCGTTCGCTTACTTACTACTACCGGTTAGCTCTCTCTCTCCCCTTCCTCGTCTTTCTTCTTTCTCCCTCTATACCAATAATTGCGTTTGAAACGCAAACGCAAAGGTACCTGTTCTGCGTCTCTAAAACGCAACCTTTCCCCGACCGTTCTCCCTGTGCGCTTTTGGCTTCCCTTATATTATAGCCTTAGGTTTCTCACTTTCTCTCTCTCCCTATCCACCGTTACTTCTCCGCCGACTGGTCTTCTCCTTGCCGCCGGAATCTCGCGACATAGGCGCCTCCGCCCGGCTGGTGATTTCTTTTTCACATCTTGACCCGTTTCTTTTTCTTTGATCATCGTTTGCTCCATGCTCTGCTGTGTTTTAACCCCCGCATACTGTGCGTAAAGAAGCGTGAACTAACTTGTGGGTTTGATCCTTGTCTCGCTGCATTTTAGATAATTGGCAGCTGAATTGCGAGTAAGGAGTTATGGGTCTCAATCGAGAGGAACTAGAGTATGCTTCTTTTTGTTAAAGCTGGTTTCTTTTGCTCCCGTCCAATGCAAATGTGTATCTTTCGCTTTTGTTTCTCTATGTATTCTGACATTTTCGCATTGTTTTCTATTTGCGTGCAAATAGCTCGGACGTTGTTGGCTACCAGTTCATTGACAAGCAAAAGCTCTCAGCACCTATTAAGTCCACTGCTGAAAAGTTTCAACTCGTTCCCGAGTTCTTGAAGGTACTAAAGAATACGCGTACAGCTTACATGTATGATTTATACGACCAGGGGATGTCTTTTGTCATTGGGTTGTTGAGTTTTCAAGTAATTGAACTTGTATCTGATTGCAGCGTGAGTAGCAACCAACAGATATAGCTGACTGTGTCATCTTATACAGAAAATTGGGCAATTGTCTTGTTTGCAGGTGAGAGGACTTGTGAAGCAGCACTTGGATTCATTCAATTACTTTGTTAATGTTGGTATAAAAAAGATTGTCCGTGCAAATAATCTCATTGTCTCCAGCGTAGACCCATCACTTTACCTCAGGTTACACCTTTTTCTCCTGATTGTTGTTCTTATTTCTAAACTGTCTGGTTTTGGCTTTCACTGATCGGTGGTCAGAATGGAATTCCCTTGTATTTCATTTTAATGCTGTATTGAGTGATGTCCTGTTTCCTGCTGGATCCACTTATACTCACTAAGTGTCCCCCTGTCCTCCCATTTTCTTGGTCCTCTTGTACAAGATGACACAGTCAGCAATATTTGTTGGTTGTTCTCCGATTTCTTAAACTAACATTTGGAAGCCATCTTCTGATGCAGGTTTAAAGATGTCAAAATTGATGGCCCCTCAGTTGTACTCAGTGGTGTTCTTGAAGATATTAATCCCCATATGTGCCGATTAGCAGACATGACGTATGTAGCTGTTCTATTTGAATCTACCATTTGCATATTACAATATATCACTAGTCTCTTGGGAGTTGATTTTTTCACGTATGTCAGAAACTTTTGTTTCCTCTGACCACTTTTGCAAAACAGATACTGTAAAATATGGTTTGGTTGGATTTATGGAACTTTGCAACCGATGCTGTCTTTTTCTTCTGTCTGTTTTAAATGCATTTGAACTTCTTGGCTCCACAAAATTTTAGGTATGCCGCTCCGATATTTGTTGATGTAGAATATGTTCAAGGAAGCCATGACCAGAAGACCATAGTGAAAAGGGTAAATGAAAGCTTTATACTTTACATTATCCTTATTGATGATATCTAGGTTGCAGATGAAATTCTTTTTCTTTCAGGATAATGTAATGATAGGAAGGATGCCTATTATGTTACGGAGTCAGCGTTGTGTCTTGTATGGAAAAGATGAGCAGGAACTTGCAAGATTGGGTTTGTATTGAATGCCTATTTTCGATTGTGCTTCTAAATTATCTTCATACTTATTTTTCTAATTTTGGATTCTAGGTGAGTGCCCTCTTGATCCTGGAGGATATTTTGTTATTAAAGGAACCGAGAAGGTGATTTTTCTTGTCTCTTGTAACAAATATATCATGACCATCTTATGGATGCTATAGAAATTATTAGTACGACAGCTTTAAACTTATAGATTTCTGTTCATGTACATTATTGTATTGTTCGTGCTTAGTTGGTTTTGATTAATCTGCTAATAATTTCTCTTGCGTTGTTAAGCCTGAGCACGTCTTGTTCTTGTTGGTTCTTTTCAAGTTGTTGTTTTTCCAGCCAGTTTAGTTGCTTTACTTTCTGGCTTTGAGTTTCTATCCTTCTTTCTTGAAGACCAAAGGTACTATTTTTTTTTTGTATTTACTTTTATCATTTTCAGGTGCTTTTGATCCAAGAACAACTTTCCAAGAACAGGATTATAATTGATACAGACAAAAAAGGGAAGTAAGTAATCTTTGAAATCTTTTTGGTCCTTGTGAAAGGTCTTCTGCTTGACTCCTTTTTTTGTTGTTTAATTTCCACTGTTTTTTTCTTTATGAATGCGAAGTCCTAGACATAATTGTTGATGTAGCTAGAGATGACAGTGACAGATAATCTTTTTTTTTCTATCAAGCTATATTTATCAGTCCGTAAGAACAGTTTGTTTCAGTTGATATATATCTGGTATCAACTATACATGAGTCATAGTATCATATCATGTTTCCAAAGTGTCGATCCATCTAATTTCCATCTATGATCAGTTTGCCATTTACTGATTTGTCTCTGGATTATTTTGCTATCATTATCAGCATAAATGCATCTGTTACAAGTAGCACAGAATTAACGAAAAGCAAGACAGTTATTCAGATGGAGAAGGAGAAGGTTTATTTGTTTCTTCACCAATTTGTAAAAAAGGTATGTCTTCTCCATGCTTCCTGTTCGTTAATTATTCGTAATTTCATATGTGATGGATTTTGTTGTCTCAACATGTATTTTATTGTAGATTCCTATTATAATTGTCCTTAAAGCTATGGGAATGGAGAGCGATCAGGAGATCGTACAGATGGTCGGAAGGGATCCTCGTTTTAGTGCATCACTCTTACCTTCTATTGAGGCAAGTTTTATGGTCACCCCCAAGATCGGTCTTCTTTTGCCTTGATACGTTGGTCGAACCCTGTAATCATGGGTTTAGGTTCTTTATCAAATATCAACTATGTAATCATAGCAAAAGAGTTCACATAAATAATGAGCACCAATACTCGAAGCTTGTTCTCGGAGATTCAGAAAATTGATAATTAATGTTGAAGTTTTGATTCATGAAGGTTGATAACTGGAAAGTTTGCTATTAAGAAATGAAATTTCTCTTTATTTCTCCCTTATTAAATATTCGAAATTATAGGTGAGGACCATGAGCCCTGAGTAATGAAATGATTCATGGCTGAGAAAGGAACCTGTTATTGGGTTGACTACTTTTTGCACATCTAAAAAAATAATTTGGTATTTTTCTTGCATTTTGTTGTTGCCTATTTCTGCCATGTGGCAAGCCTTATTTGAGAAGCATAATATTATATCCTTGAATTCTCCTTTAATTTCAGGAGTGTGTCAGTGAAGGTGTGAATACCCGAAAGCAAGCTCTGGACTATCTTGAGGCAAAGGTGCAGTGTTTCTTATTTTTAATATTTTACACTTAATAGACATTTCTGTTAAGATTTTAGTGGTTGGATAAGCTAGCCATACATGATTTGAAGTACTTGATTTTATATGACAACTAATATCATTTCATTGCCGCACCAGAACTACCATTTTATCATCCGTCCGAAGACTCCGAACTATTTCTGCTGAAAGGAAGATTATTAGACATTTTTTTGGGGATTAGTCCCCTTAACTTAATTTCTTGGTTTTTCCCCTTCGAACCCTCGCAGCTGTTCATTTATAGATCAACACAATAAGACGAAAGGAACAAGGCTACAAAATTATGTTATCTGACCAATAGATTTTGATTTTCTTTACTTTATTTTTTTCTATCTGTAAGAATATGAAATGTTCTTGTATTTGTTAATTCTTAGGTGAAGAAGACATCATATGGTCCCCCTGCTGAAAAGGTTCTATTTATATTCAACCTTACTAATAACTTCCTCCCAGACAGATGTATAATACATGTTCTTTGCATCGCCTAAAGAAGGTTCATGGCACTGAGAATTTCTCGCTATCTATTTGTTTGATCTATATTAGGAAGGGAGGGCTCTATCCATTCTAAGAGATGTATTCCTTGCACATGTACCTGTAAGTATCTGTTGTTCTCCAGTTCGTGCAAACTTTAGAGTCTGTTGACAGTGCTGTTATCTTTCTCTTAGGTGCACAGCAACAATTTTCGTCCAAAATGTTTGTATGTTGGGATAATGTTAAGGCGAATGATTGAGGCTATGTTAAACAAAGATGCTATGGATGACAAGGTAAGCTTCGTTATACTTTGAACAGGAATTTAGTACATATATACCTTTACTGGCTTGCTATGGATGACAAGGTAAGCTTCGTTATACTTTGAATAGGGTTTTAGTACATTTATACCTTTACTGGCTCTTAATGTGTGGTTACCTTCGTTTTTAGATTAGAATTGTGATGTGATGCTCATCAAATTTTAATTTGCTATGTAAAATACAATGCATTAGATTACCCATAGGCAAGAAAAACAAGGATGAACATGCCGATAATCTCTTGGTAAATACGTCTGACACCTTAGAAGAGCCAATTACGGTCTCAACCGTTGACCTGAAGGTCCTGAACATGATTTTGATTGTTATTGATTATATCTTCTGACTTAAATTAAGAGGGCGAGTCTTGTTGGGACATATTTGTATTGATGTGACATTATATTCTTAAATGTGATTCATCTTGTAGGATTATGTAGGTAACAAACGGTTGGAGTTATCTGGCCAATTGATTTCTCTTCTCTTTGAGGTATCTCATAAGCTTATTACTGAATGCAATACTTTTGCTTTAAAGCCGTTGCCAATGTCTTACCTAATTTTTCTTCTCTTTGGATGCCCCAGGATTTGTTCAAGACAATGATCAGTGAGACAAAGAAAAACGCTGATAATATTCTACAAAGACCTAGCCGATCTAGCCGGTTTGACTTCTTACAAGTAAGTATAGATCTACTTCTAATTGTTTATTCAAGTGTTGCATTTATTATTAATGAAATATTCTCTCATTGAACAATGTAAGCTTAGGTACTTGCCAAATTTGCATTGAGGACACCTGTTGTTAGTTTTATATGTTTGATCATACAATTTGAAACAACTTTCGTGAAAGATCACATTGAGGGCACTTGTTATGTAGTCTTCTTTTTATTGTGTGATCTTTCACAAAAGTAGTTTCAAATTTTTTCCTGGTTACAATAAGCTTAATAGTACTTGCCAACTAGGTGTTATTGTGGCATTTTCAACTCTAAATTGAGAGCTTATTTCATTTTGGATCACATCAAGTTCTATCCCTAGGTCTTCATTTGTGCTATTTTTGCAGTATATTAATAGAGATAGTATCACTTTTGGATTAGAGAGAACCCTTTCAACGGGAAACTTTGATATCAAGAGGTTCAGGATGCACAGGAAAGGTATGACTCAGGTCAGTCTCTCTCTCTCTCTCTCTCTCTCTCTCTCTCTCTCTCTCTCTCTCTGTGTGTGTGTGTGTGTACTCTTGTGCTTTGTTTAGTTTGTGTCTGCCCCTCCTTTAATGGTGCAGTAGCATGATGAGAAATCTTTGTATGTAGGTATTACAAAGGTTGTCTTTTATAGGCAGCATGGGGCATGTTACAAGAATTTCACCACAATTTGAGAAGTCCAGAAAAGTAAGCGGGCCTAGATCTTTGCAGCCTAGCCAGGTGAGGATGTCATCATCAGCACTGTATATTTTCCTATAGCTGACTGCTTTTACGTGATATGTGAACTCTTATATCACTTTCGGTTGCTTTGAGTATGCATTTCTCTAATGACTCCATTATAATGTGTTCCACAAGTGGGGCATGCTATGCCCATGTGATACTCCAGAAGGTGAAGCATGTGGGCTTGTAAAAAACTTGGCTTTAATGACTCATGTCACTACAGATGAAGAGGAAGGCCCATTAGTTTCTATGGTATGGTCTTGATTTCATTTTTTTAAATTTTATGATTTTAGCACTAGCATTAAACATCTTCCGCTGTGGCCTGGAGAAAGATATCAACTAATGCTTTTCACGTTGGATAATTTCTTCTCCTTGGCATCTGGTGTTTGGACGCATTTTTCAATTGATCCGTGTAAGTATAATGAATAATCATATGTTTGGATAAACTTTCTTGCGACAGTGCTACAAATTGGGTGTCATGGACCTGGAAGCATCATCAGCAGAAGAGCTGCACACTCCAGATTCATTTTTGGTCATATTCAATGGGCTGATACTTGGAAAACATGGAAGGCCTCAGGTACTTGGAAAATATTGAGAAATTGTTCTGCAGTAAAATGCAGTATATCTTTCCTCTTCTTCAGTAATTTCTTTTGTTTCAGTTCTTTGCTGATTCACTCAGAAAACTGCGGAGAGCTGGGAAAATTGGCGAGTTTGTTAGTGTATTCTTAAATGAAAAGCAGGTAATCCCTTCTTTCAATGTATGCCATATGGTTAGTAGTTTAAATTTCACCATGTATACCCTATAGGTTGTGTTCATTCGCCCGTCCAGCAAAAGCATATTTACCTATTGCACTAAGATTTTGTCCAAGTACCACATGTATATTATATTTGTTGTGCATAATCATTGGCGGTGAATGTGTATTATCCTTTTCTGGCTAGAAAAATAAACAGAGAAGGTTACAGCAGTGAATTTTGAGAGCAATCTGTAGACTCCTTTTCTGTTGGTTTTGAAGTAGGAAGGCAACTCAGGAGTTCCGCTAGGGAAAGTATAATTTTCCTAGAGCAATCTGTAGACTGCCTTCCTCGGACCCTCGCTCCGGGGATGTTTTGTGCACCGGGCTACCCTTTATGATTGCTACTAGAGTCTAAACATAACTTTTATTGATTTACTCTTCATTTTTTGTGTGAAATTTCAAATGATATTGTCGACTGACTTTCGATGAGGAAATGTTCTTGTGTCTTGTTTATGCTTTCAAACTCTTGCAATGAATGGAATTTTGTTCTTCATGATTATCTCTCATCTCTCTTGAATGAATGTTTAGGGAAACCTAGGATTTGTTGAATTGAGTGATGAAATTGTTTGGGTTTGATTGCTAGAGTTTAATGAGCCGATCTAGCCGGTTTGACTTCTTACAAGTAAGTATAGATCTACTTCTAATTGTTTATTCAAGTGTTGCATTTATTATTAATGAAATATTCTCTCATTGAACAATGTAAGCTTAGGTACTTGCCAAATTTGCATTGAGGACACCTGTTGTTAGTTTTATATGTTTGATCATACAATTTGAAACAACTTTCGTGAAAGATCACATTGAGGGCACTTGTTATGTAGTCTTCTTTTTATTGTGTGATCTTTCACAAAAGTAGTTTCAAATTTTTTCCTGGTTACAATAAGCTTAATAGTACTTGCCAACTAGGTGTTATTGTGGCATTTTCAACTCTAAATTGAGAGCTTATTTCATTTTGGATCACATCAAGTTCTATCCCTAGGTCTTCATTTGTGCTATTTTTGCAGTATATTAATAGAGATAGTATCACTTTTGGATTAGAGAGAACCCTTTCAACGGGAAACTTTGATATCAAGAGGTTCAGGATGCACAGGAAAGGTATGTCTCAGGTCAGTCTCTCTCTCTCTCTCTCTCTCTCTCTCTCTCTCTCTCTCTCTCTCTGTGTGTGTGTGTGTGTACTCTTGTGCTTTGTTTAGTTTGTGTCTGCCCCTCCTTTAATGGTGCAGTAGCATGATGAGAAATCTTTGTATGTAGGTATTACAAAGGTTGTCTTTTATAGGCAGCATGGGGCATGTTACAAGAATTTCACCACAATTTGAGAAGTCCAGAAAAGTAAGCGGGCCTAGATCTTTGCAGCCTAGCCAGGTGAGGATGTCATCATCAGCACTGTATATTTTCCTATAGCTGACTGCTTTTACGTGATATGTGAACTCTTATATCACTTTCGGTTGCTTTGAGTATGCATTTCTCTAATGACTCCATTATAATGTGTTCCACAAGTGGGGCATGCTATGCCCATGTGATACTCCAGAAGGTGAAGCATGTGGGCTTGTAAAAAACTTGGCTTTAATGACTCATGTCACTACAGATGAAGAGGAAGGCCCATTAGTTTCTATGGTATGGTCTTGATTTCATTTTTTTAAATTTTATGATTTTAGCACTAGCATTAAACATCTTCCGCTGTGGCCTGGAGAAAGATATCAACTAATGCTTTTCACGTTGGATAATTTCTTCTCCTTGGCATCTGGTGTTTGGACGCATTTTTCAATTGATCCGTGTAAGTATAATGAATAATCATATGTTTGGATAAACTTTCTTGCGACAGTGCTACAAATTGGGTGTCATGGACCTGGAAGCATCATCAGCAGAAGAGCTGCACACTCCAGATTCATTTTTGGTCATATTCAATGGGCTGATACTTGGAAAACATGGAAGGCCTCAGGTACTTGGAAAATATTGAGAAATTGTTCTGCAGTAAAATGCAGTATATCTTTCCTCTTCTTCAGTAATTTCTTTTGTTTCAGTTCTTTGCTGATTCACTCAGAAAACTGCGGAGAGCTGGGAAAATTGGCGAGTTTGTTAGTGTATTCTTAAATGAAAAGCAGGTAATCCCTTCTTTCAATGTATGCCATATGGTTAGTAGTTTAAATTTCACCATGTATACCCTATAGGTTGTGTTCATTCGCCCGTCCAGCAAAAGCATATTTACCTATTGCACTAAGATTTTGTCCAAGTACCACATGTATATTATATTTGTTGTGCATAATCATTGGCGGTGAATGTGTATTATCCTTTTCTGGCTAGAAAAATAAACAGAGAAGGTTACAGCAGTGAATTTTGAGAGCAATCTGTAGACTCCTTTTCTGTTGGTTTTGAAGTAGGAAGGCAACTCAGGAGTTCCGCTAGGGAAAGTATAATTTTCCTAGAGCAATCTGTAGACTGCCTTCCTCGGACCCTCGCTCCGGGGATGTTTTGTGCACCGGGCTACCCTTTATGATTGCTACTAGAGTCTAAACATAACTTTTATTGATTTACTCTTCATTTTTTGTGTGAAATTTCAAATGATATTGTCGACTGACTTTCGATGAGGAAATGTTCATCAGTACTGTGTCTATGTTGCATCGGATGGTGGCCGGGTTTGTCGTCCACTTGTTATAGCTGACAAGGGAGTATCAAGGGTTAAGCAATACCATATGAAGGAGTTACAGGTAATGATGTTAAACATGTGCAGACATAAAAGGAATTAAGGATGCATGATAATTTTCTGACGAGTTAATTAGTTGCTGGCCTGATTCTTTTAATGCTATTCTTGAAGGATGGAGTTCGCAATTTTGATGATTTCATACGCGATGGTTTGATTGAATATCTTGATGTCAATGAGGAAAACAATGCATTGGTATGTTCCGGTCTCTGTTTATTTTTTTTAGTCTAACGTATATTATGAGATTATATTCGGCAACTGCTTAACTGCTCTATTATGCTCTTTGAAGATTGCTTTGTATGAAAGCGAAACTACACCCGACACAACCCACATTGAGATAGAACCTTTCACCATCTTGGGTGTTGTTGCTGGACTTATCCCTTACCCTCATCATAATCAGTCACCTCGAAATACTTACCAGGTTTGCGTTTGTGGGAAGTTTGAGAGTGGACTGCTATATTTTCTGTTTATTTGCATCTTAATGATGGTTACATTGCATTATTTGCAGTGTGCTATGGGAAAACAAGCTATGGGAAACATTGCATACAACCAGGCAAGTGCCTTTTTCTGTGCATTAAGGCAAAGCCTTCTGCCTTGTAGTTTTGATTACTTGACCTGGCACATTTGGCCTGTTTGATCTCTTATGTTTTGCTTCGTTTAAGTTGGCCATTTCACTTATGTCCAAATGTTTTATGTTTCCGTCTTTTCCATTGCATTTATTTGATATTCAGATATCTTGTTTCCTCGTGATGTACTGATTTTGTTTCATTCAAATGTTTATCCTTAGTTATCGCGGATGGACTCATTACTTTACCTGTTGGTGTATCCTCAGAGACCCTTGTTGACAACAAGGACCATCGAATTGGTTAGCTTCATTTCTTACTATGTGATGTTGGGAGCAATATGATACTAATATAGTACACTCCTGTCAGGTTGGATATGATAAGCTTGGAGCTGGTCAAAACGCAACGGTTGCTGTGATGAGTTATAGCGGATATGATATAGAAGATGCAATAGTAATGAACAAATCTTCCCTGGATCGTGGTTTTGGCCGTTGCATTGTTATGAAAAAGTATGTGTGGTTTTCCATTTTTCACGAAAAATCCAATCCGGGAAAACAGTGTTCTAAAAGTAATTATTGCTTTTGCACTGTTTTTTTTTCTCATGAAATAGGTACTCTGCTACAAGCCAAAAATATGAGAACAATACACAAGACAGGATACTCAGGCCACAAAAAACAGGCCATGATGCGGAAAAGATGCAGGTAGTACATATTATTAGGGTTTGCCTTCAATTCCTTCCCTGCTAGCCCTAGATGTCTATCATAAAATGGTTTCCCAATTTTTCTTTACTGGTTTTCTGGAACCCATTGTCGAAGTATACCAGTATTAGGCTATCCTGTCATCACCTATGAAAATGCTTTTTTAGCCTCTTATATACAGTGGGATTGAGCTAGATGATCCTTTAGCACATCTGGATTTGGTCTTTCCTGGTTTTTGTGGAGGGAACACACACACATTATGCTGTGTTTCTTATTGGACTTTGATAGAACCCACCCATCCATAATGGGCCCAACTAAGTCTCAAAACCCATGGGTACGTGAGACTAACAATAATGCCCCTTTAGATAGCGACGACCACGGCACTCGCGGCTTCTCGGTCACTGGCGAGTACGCACCCTTTGTGCTCCTCTCCTACCGCGTCGTCTGCATGTCCGAGGATCGGTTGACTCTGATACCAATTTGATAGAACCCAATGATCCATAATAGGTCCAACTAAGTCTCAAAATCCATGGATAGAACTCACTCCAAAAGCTAGCTTGTTGGCAGAGGGTGACCATGGTCTTATATACACTAAATTATCCCCACATATTTCCGATGTGGGACTCTAACAGACTTTTCTAAATATAGTTTGTTTTAACTGCTTACAACGGCCTCAAAGGAATCACTACAGAAACAGTTACTATTTAGTCCGGTTTTGCCTCAAATGTTCGCAGAAGTTGTCTTAGCAGGCCTCAAATGTTAGCATAAACTATGACTTAACTGTGACATTTACTAACTAATTGTTCTTTCTTTAAGATATTGGATGATGATGGAATTGCTACTCCGGGAGAAATTATCAGACCAAATGACATCTATTTTAACAAAGAAGTTCCTATACAAACAAGGGGCCCAGTTCCATCTCCGATGGCACTATCTGATAGGTTAGACAAGGGAATCCTTTTTTTTTCCTTGAATGCTTTATTGTTTACTGAGACTGTTACTCAAATTCCTATTATCTGTTATACGATCTCCAAGCCATTATCGTCCAGCCAGAGAATTTTGGAAAGGCCATGAAGGGGAGACACAAGTAGTTGATAGAGTCGCTCTTTGTTCAGATAGGAACAATAATATGTGCATTAAATTTCTTATTCGGCATACTCGTCGACCAGAGGTAAAACGTGTTTTCCTTGATACAATTTTACATTTGTCCTTATTATACTTTTTCTGTACAGTTTCAATGATGGCTCTGCTGTACTATTGTTTCAGCTTGGTGACAAATTCAGCAGTAGGCATGGGCAGAAAGGTGTATGTGGGACAATCGTTCAACAGGAAGATTTTCCATTTTCTGAACGCGGAATTTGCCCTGATTTGATTATGAACCCTCATGGGTTTCCAAGGTAGTTAATTGTTCTGCATAAAATTTCTTTTGTTTGTTTATGAATCGTTCAGCCGGCCTATACTCAACATTGAGAAGGAAGGGGGTTCTGTTATTCACTGTTGTAAGGGATCTTCTGGCTGTTAAAACAGCATGTTAACGTATTCGGAATTAGGTCTGTGACGTCTAGCTATTTTCCCTAGATCAATATTTTTAAACTACTGCTCTTGTTTCTGGATTTTCATCTGAAGATCCAAATGTTTTGAGCTTTTGGGACAAACTAAAGAATCCATTCATTTTTCTATGCTACAGTCGTATGACAGTAGGTAAGATGATAGAGCTTCTTGGAGGTAAGGCTGGTGTTTCTTGTGGAAGATTCCATTATGGTAGTGCTTTTGGAGAGCCGAGTGGTCATGCAGACAAGGTCGAGAATATAAGGTATTTTCTTCCCTCAAATCTAAGGCATCTTCTTCTGTTTTCAACTTACCTTCCCGCATTTCAAACCTTTGTAATTATTTTATTGGATCAGTGAAACGCTTGTCAAGCACGGATTTAGCTACAGTGGGAAGGACCTCATTTATTCAGGTTCTGCTTTATGCTTCCTCAAACACTTCGGCATCTGCAATAATATGTGCATTTTCATTTCAGTTTATGTAATAAGTGGATTTCTTTTAAATACTAGGAAGTTTTGGTCAGGAATGAAATGAATTTAGAATATGATGGAATGAAACAATGGATCAAAGGTATTAGAGAAGACCTTATTAAGCCTAATTAAAAAACAAAAAGACAAACCCATACTGGAAGTTTTGGTCAGGAATAAAGTGGATTTAGAATATGGTGGAACGAAACAATGGGTGATGGTATAAGAGAAGACCCTGTTAAGTCTAAATAACAAAAAGACAAGCCCATACTTGTTGTCGATCTAAAAGTTCTTTCATGTTGGCTTCTCTACTTTGTTTGTACTATACCTAAAGAGAGAGTCATGCTGGTGGTTTTTCTTTATACAATTTCTGATGTCTGAGAATCACTCAGGTATCACTGGCTGTCCATTGCAAGCTTACATCTTCATGGGACCAATATATTATCAGAAATTGAAACACATGGTGAGTCTAGATGATTTTATAACTATAGATAATCCGGTTTCTATGGTGTTTGTATGCCCACTACAGACATTGAAATTGGTGAATTTGTGGCATTTATGAGATTATGGCAGATGCAAGCTGATTTCTTCTAAATATTGAGGATATGCAGTAATATTCTAGTTAACTTGAACATGAAAATAAGTTAATGAGGTCTTTTATGTACTTTGATTTAACAGGTCTTGGACAAAATGCATGCTCGAGGGAGTGGACCCCGTGTGATGATGACGAGACAGCCGACTGAAGGGAGAGCTAGAAATGGAGGTTCGAGCTTCACACTTTGAATCTTCACTTTGATTCAGTTACTGTGCTCTTCTTAATTGCTTGTTTATGCTGTTGTAGGGCTACGAGTGGGAGAAATGGAACGGGATTGTCTCATTGCCTATGGAGCTAGCATGTTGATTTATGAGCGGCTCATGGTTTCTAGCGATCCTTTTGAAGTTCAGGTAATGAATATTCCGCCTCTGTTTTCGAAAATGGCTTAACTGGTAAAACTATAGGTGGTATAATACCTGATTAACATTGTATGGCAGAGCTTTGAATGAACAAAGAAATTCTTGGATATTCTAAATTTTATATGCATGCATATTACTGGCGTCTTTCAGCATGAATTGAGATTGAGAATGGGGAACAACACTATATTCATGATCGAAAACATGATGCAGGTTTGCAGAGCCTGTGGCTTGTTGGGATACTACAATTACAAACTGAAAGCTGGAGTTTGCACAACATGTAAAAACGGTGAGAATATCTCGACGATGAAGCTCCCTTACGCATGCAAGCTCCTCCTCCAGGTAACATATAGATATATATATATATATATGCTTATTTAACCATTCTCACAAAGATTGGGTTTCTCATAAAACTAGGAATCTCTGGAGTTTTTGTGGGTCTAGTTCTCTACCCGCGGAGTTATGTCTGGTCCGTTTGGTTGGTTTCCTCTTGTTTTTAGATTCGACTTCTGATCTTAGAATGATCTACTTGCAATGCAGGAGCTTCAATCCATGAACATTGTTCCAAGGCTCAGGCTCGCCGAGGCATGATCTCTGGGGGAAGTTTTTCTGGTTTCTGACAGCTGCTGGAAAAAAAAACGTTAGGTTTGGCAAGAAGTCTCCAGAACTTGAATTACTCAGATCTGACAACTTATGGGTTATAGGCAGAGGCAGTGCCACGTGGCATGGCGTAGATCAGATGGCATTCTCAGTAATGTTTGTGGTAGAGAACTGAGTTTGTGATAATTCTGTCGTCTGTCTATGTACCATGGTTGGACACTTTGGAAAAGGCAAAAGAAAAGTACAATGAAGAAGAGCGG